TCTGGAGAAAATTCTGACCCCTCCAATTATCGTCCGATCAGTCTTCTTTCTGTTATTAGCAAGGTCTTTGAGTCTTTGATCAACAAATTCCTCACATCTCATCTTGAGTCAAATAAACTGCTGTCAGACAATCAATACGGTTTTCGATCCTCTCGCTCTACGGCCGACTTGTTAACTGCTGTAACTGAAAGATTTTATCGTGCATTAGATGGAGGCGGTGAGGCTAGGGCTATTGCTCTCGACATATCTAAAGCTTTCGACAAAGTTTGGCATGCTGGTCTTCTCCATAAGCTTGCTTCATATGGTGTTTCTGGGAAAGTTTTTGAGATTATCAAATCATTTCTTTCTGACCGGTTTATTAAAGTCATCCTTGAAGGCCAACACTCTTCTTTATTTCCAGTAACTTCTGGGGTTCCCCAAGGTTCCATCCTGGGCCCTGTTTTGTTTCTTATCTACATAAACAATCTTTCTGAAAACCTTTCATCTAAAGTAGCTCTTTTTGCTGATGACTCAACTTTATACTCCTATCTTGACAAAAATTCTTCTTTTTTCGATCGCCTAGAACAAGCAGCTGATCTTGAATCGGATCTCACTTCAGTAATAGATTGGGGCTCACAGTGGCTTGTGAATTTCAACTCTAAAAAAACCCAATTGCTTACTGCAAACAACTACCGTAATATGGTCAACATTCCTATATTAATGAATGGCAATCCTCTTACTGAGTCGTCCTCTTTACGTCTTCTTGGATTATCGCTTACTACTGACCTTTCATGGAAACCATATATACAATCGATTGCTAAATTAGCTTCTGCTAAGGTTGCTTCTCTTTATCGTGCTCGCCATTTCCTTACTTCTGATTCCATTCTATACCTCTACAAATCTCTTATTCTTCCCTGTATGGAATACTGTTGTCATATTTGGGCTGGTTCTTCTAACGATTCACTCTCTCTTCTTGACAAGGTCCAAAAACGCATTGTAAATGTTGTTGGACCTGGACTATCTGCTAAGCTTGAACCTCTTTCCCATCGTCGTAAAGTTGCATCTCTTTCTCTTTTCTACAGATACTACCATGGTCACTGCTCAAAGGAGTTATCATCTTTAGTTCCATCAACTAAAATTCATTCTCGTTTTACTCGTCATTCAGCTAAGTCTCATTCGTTTTCTGTATCTGTCCCTGCATGCTCTAAAAACTTTTATTCATCTAGTTTTTTTCCCCGCACTTCAATTCTTTGGAACTCTCTCCCGTCTTCATGTTTTCCTGACTCATACAACCTTCAACTTTTTAAGTCTTCTGTCAACCGTTTTCTTGCTCTATAACTCTGTTCTTTTTTTTTCCTAGTAACTCCCAACTTAATAGTGGTTGCTTGCAGCCTTGTTGGGAGTGAATGCAAATAAAAAAAAAAAAAAAAAAAAAAATTATTTACCTTCACTCCTTGACTTATGTCTTGTCTCTGACCCTAGCTTATGTTCAGTTTCTCCCTTTTCTCCCTTAGGTGGTTCTGACCATGCAATGATCTCTATAAATCTTTCTTCTCGTACTTCTTTTTTGGGCTCACCTTATCATCGCACCACCTACTACTACCCTAAAGCTGACTGGGATTCCTTTCGTGATTTTCTTCGTGATGGTCCTTGGGCTGATGTTTTTTCTCTCTCAGCTGACAAATGTGCCTCCTACGTAACCTCCTGGATTCAGGCTGGAATGGAAGCTTTTATTCCTTCTCGTCGGTTTCAAGTCAAGCCTCATTCTACTCCATGGTTTTCTCCTTCTTGTGCGGCTGCTATATCCAATCGTAACCATTTTTTTCATCTTTTTCAAAAGAACAACTCTCTTGAGAACAAACGGCTGTTTATTATTGCAAGAAATCGATGTAAAAAGGTGCTTTCTGATGCTAAACTCCATTATTCTCAGTTCACTAAATTTCGCATCTTATCGCAGAAGTTAGGCTCTAAAGACTTTTGGAAAATCTTCAACAGCATTATTAACAAGGGTAGATCTAACATTCCATCTCTCATTCATGGGACTGATCTTATTACCTCTCCTAAGGATAAGGCAGAACTATTTGCAAAGAACTTTTCTTCTAATTCCACTCTTGAATCTTATGGACATTCTTTTCCTTCCATTCCAGCTAAACTGGTTGACCCATTGTTAGACATTCAAATCACTCCGGCTTCTGTTGCTAAAGTCATATCTCAATTAAACTCGTCTACAGCTTGTGGTCCAGACAAAATTCCTATCACAGTCTTGCAGAATTGTTCTCCAGAACTTTCTTCAATTCTCTCTAAACTATTTAACAAGTGTTTGACTGAGTCTTGTTTTCCTGCTTGTTGGAAAATGGCATCTGTGGTTCCAATATTCAAAAACTCTAGAGAAAATTCTGACCCCTCCAATTATCGTCCGATCAGTCTTCTTTCTGTTATTAGCAAGGTCTTTGAGTCTTTGATCAACAAATTCCTCACATCTCATCTTGAGTTAAATAAACTACTGTCAGACAATCAATAAGGTTTTCGATCCTCTCGCTCTACGGCTGACTTGCGAACTTCTCTAAATGAAAAATTTTATCGTGCATTAGATGGGGGCGGTGGAGCTAGGGCTATTGCTCTCGACATATCTGAAGCTTTCGACAAAATTTGGCATGCTGGTCTTCTCCATAAGCTTGCTTCATATGGTGTTTCTAAGAAAGTTTTTGAGATTATCAAATCATTTCTTTCTAACCAGTTTATTAAAGTCATTCTTGAAGGCCAACACTCTTCTTTATTTCCAGTAACTTCTGGGGTTCCCCAAGGTTCCATCCTGGGCCCTGTTTTGTTTTTTATCTACATTAATGATCTTTCCATTAACCTTACATCTAAAGTAGCTCTTTTTGCTGATGACTCAACTTTATACTCCTGTCTTGACAAAAAGTCTTCTCTTTTTGGTTTATAAAATATACTGAAATATAGGCACATTTATGTATATAAACTTACCTGTCAACAAATTACAGTCAGTTTTCCATGTTAAATACATAAAATATATATCTAATATCAAATAAATCCAATATAAAATAAAAAAAAAAATTAAACTTACTCAAATTAGTAACAGTTCGACTGTCTAAAATTTCTTATCATTATTAATCCTTCTATTTAAAAACAAACAAACAATTGGTTTGAAGTGACTAAAAAGCACTTCAGCTCTTTCTAATTGCACTAAAAAATAAAAGAAATCTTGCTTCACTAAGTTGCCCAGTTCTTAAGAATCCAAAAATAGATAAGTAAAAAACCAAGTACAAAGATTTCAGTATCCCACATGGGCCGTGAATCATGTAAATTATTGATATCCTGTGCTGTTTCAAGTTTATCTTCATTGGTTAAATGAAGTAAAATGTGAAGTAAACTTTTGAAACTCAAAAACCTGAACATGCGTTACAACTTTGCCCAATACACCATGTTTGAAGATTTCATTGAGGAGGTTATTTAACTTGAGTTTAAATACTCTAGTAACCAAATCAGGTCTATCATTCGCAGTCTTACCCGGATATAAATTTTCTGTTATTTCACACCATTTTGGGTTCCAAGTAAAAGTAATAAAAAGATCTGGTTTACCATACATTTTAATAATTGCCATAGCATCTTCAAAGATTTTTTAAAAATAATTTCCTACATGAGATGATGGAAAAACTACTACTCGCCCTGGTCGAATATTACGATTGTTCGCAATGTTGTTAACATGTTCATGTTAACAACATTTATCATACTGTTTGCTTTTAAGTTTGTTTAGGTTATTTCTGATAAAAGCTGGTCTTCAATTTTGACATATGCATCAACAGCATATTGCTGAAATATTTCTTGCCATAAAATAATGAACAGAAACTTGCCTAACAGAAAGTCTATAAATGTAGAACTGAGATAATGTAACATGATTTTAACTAGTGTGGCACGCTCAGGGTTATGTACCAACTGATTATGCCAACTTGCATCACCTCTCCACTCCCTTCAGAGCTAGGCTATTTTTCAGTCGATGTAGCAACACACCGTTGCGAGTAAGGCTATAAGATAGTCTATAAAGGCTATAAGATAGTCGGAAGAAACTTTTTTTAATATTAAGTCTTTTTCGACTACATTATAAGGATATATATATATAATGGATATATATATATAATGGATATATATATATATATAATGGATATATATATATATGTATATATATATATATATATATATATATATATATATATATATATATATATATATATATATATAATGGATATATATATATAATGGATATATGTATATATATATATATATATATATATATATATATATATATATATATATATATATATATATATATATATATATATATATATATATATTAAATTTCTATCGCTGAAAATTTCAATAGTTTTTTTGCGAACATAGGGCCAAATATGGCTTCAAAAGTTCAATGATCTGATATCTCCTTCGAAACCTTCCCAGACAGCCTCCCCCTAGCGGCCCAATGCTGGCTCAGTTCCAGTTCAGCATCGCGACTCCGGCGCGATGGCGGCTGTCGATTACGGGCCTGCATCGAAACGGCCATTGGGCCAGCACTCGCCCGCTGTTATGGGCCAGCATTGGCCCGCAATCGTTCGCCAGTACTAGCCTGCGATCGTTTGCCAGCACTGGCCCGGGATCATTTGCCAGCTCTGGCTCGCGATTGCTTACCAGCACTGGCCCGCGATCGCTTACCAGCATTTGTAACAGTGATCCATGATCATTTTCCGACATTCTTTCGTGTTTGCGTGTCAGTTCTAAAGCGTTACTTTTTACAAGGTACTTCTACTGCATACGCAAGCACGTTATTATTACGTTTCCGTGAAAATGTGTTTTTCCACAAAATTTAAACAAATAAGTATATTTCGAAATTTAAGTTGAGAAAAATAAAAAAATATATTTGAAATTTATTGCAAAGCAAAAATGTTTTAACTAATAATAAAATTATTATTACAAAAATAAATATTTGATTTATTAAATGAATCAAATATTTATTTTTGGAAGGAAATTTTAAGTTCTTCCCGAGCTTTACGGCCGCCATTTCGATCACTGAAAAGCTGAAAATATCTTTTTAGCCAACGTTCAACCTCTTCAGACGATGCTCCTGAAGTCGAAGGATTTGTTTTTACAGCATCTAAACAGTGTGATGTAATGTATACATTGTATATATAGAATATATTTATGTATACATTAGTAAATAATTAAACTACATATATAAATAAATAAGTATATACATATATAAGTATATATATATATAAGTATATATATAAGTATATATTACATTTATATATATAAATTATATATATATACATATATATATATATATATATATATATATATATATATATATATATATATATATATATATATATATGTATATATGTATATGTATATATATATATATATATATATATATATATATATATATATATAATATATATACATATATATATATATATGTATTTATATATATATATATATATATATATATATATATATATATATATATATATATATGTACATATATATATATATATATATATATATATATATATATATATATATATATATATATATATATATATATATATATATAATATATATATATATATATATATATATATATATATATATATATATATATACATATATATATGTATATATATATATATATATATATATATATATATATATATATATATATATTAGGGTAGGCCAAAAAATTTGAAAATTTAACATGTCTGCAAAGAACATGATCTTTTTCACATATGAATACAAAAAAAAATTGGAAAAAAACATAATTGAGTGCTGCCGAATTTGATTTGATTATTTTTATTTTTAGTCTAAAATATGTCAAAATTAGGATTTTTTAGAAAGTGAAAAAAGATTAGAATTTTTATATCTATAGGAAATATTTGTTATTTGAGGCTGTTCATTTAATAGACAACACGTTTTTGACCCTTTTTTTGAACTTCCCCCATGTATCATTTTGTATTACTTGTTTATCAACTCCTCCCCCACCCCCTCTTTTATGCGCAGTGCTATTATTGTTAAAAAAGATATATTTCTAATTAATTTTTTGCTAAAAGTTTACTAATTCTGCTATTATAAGAATTGTAATTCGCTTCACATTGTAGCTAACTACCCTCTCCATGTGATATTTGGTGACACTTTCAATACCCCTCCCCCATATGGGAGGGGTTTACCACAATACAAGTAATAACTGCTTTTATAACTCCTTTTTAAATGATAGATTGCCTGAATTACAGAAGAGTTGATTAATTTGGAAAAAAATTATTTGGGGCTATTCAAATAATACGTGACAGTCTTATGACCAGGCTAATGAAAAACAGAAAAGATAATAAAAAAGCGGTTATTATTTATACTCAGCTAAATCAACGAATAATTGCTTCTTATTACAATTGCCTACAACTTTTCTCTGATTTTCAACCACGTTAAAAAACTTCGTTTCGTACAGCCTCGTCCTTAAGATAAGAAATTTTATTTTAATCTGTTCTAATAGTAAATTTTTATAATTATGTAGATTTTTTAATTGCCTTCTCAACTCATTTTACGGCTTACCTTTGTAAGTATTTGGAGATAATCGGAACACAACTTAATTCCTCTCTCAGCCGCGTCATTAGTCACTTTTAGAGTTTTGATAAACAGCTTCATTTTCAAATAATAAGCATTGTCGTCCCATTCTGAAGAAGGAATTTTAAGCCATTTTCCATCATCTTTTAAATTAAGAAAAATTAACCAAGACTTTTTCCCAATATAAGAAATAATATCGGAATTTTTTCTAATCAGTGGAAGAGTTGGTTTACCGCAATTGATACCAAGTGGTTTTCCGTATTCTAGCATTTTTTTTGCAATTTTATCTTTATCATTTAGAGAAAGTTTATTTGAAAATAAACTTAATACCGACACCTGCTCGGTTAGATACCAAGAGTGTCTGCTTAAAACATATTGAGCTTTTTCAGTAGGTACACCGAAGTTCGGAATACCTTTAAGTGCTTCTTGATCATTAAATAATTCTATATCATTAATTAATGCATCGCAAGCCTTTGGCGCTTCTTACCAAGCTTTAATGTAAATGGCTGAGCTAAAAGTCAAAAATATTTTAAGGTTTTTTAAATCAGATTCGGTTAAATCTTTTTTAAATATTAACATCTTTGGTGCATAAAGCAAATGCGCCATCCATCTTGCATGATGGTGAGCACCTAATAGAAAAATTGCTAGTTCTGCAGCCTCTTTGTAATCGTCTCTTGGATGATGCTTAGACGGCAATACTTTTTCTAAGAAATTGCGAGTTTCATTTGCTTTTTGTTTTAAGAATGAATTTTCAAGATCAAGGGATCTATTTGAAAGTTTGAGAGGAATTTTTTTAGAGTGAAGCCATTCTTTTTGAAAATTTTTAAATTCTATATTATCATCAGATGATGTCTCTTTTTGAAATAAAGCTTTCCAAAACGACCCAAGGATTAATTCTAAAACATGATGACGACATGCAAGCCAGAGAAGCGTTTTTATAGATTTGCATTCTTCAAGAAGAGTTGCTGTTCCGTTTCTTACCCCAGTATTACAAGCCGTTGTATCGAAAACTTGGGCAACAATTTTATCTTTAAGATCCCATTTTTCTAAATCTTCGATGAATCCTTTACATATAGAATGTCCTGTGCCTGACTGAATAGGTTTAATAGATAAAATTTTACCTTCCTCGCAGTTTGGAAAACCACTTACTAAAACAGTTAAATAGTCAAACTTTTTACCAGATATTTGCTTCATAAGTTTCCCATCCCAGTGAAGAGTTAAATAATCTAATCTAATTTTTTTTTAAAATTCTTCAATTATATTTCTTGCCATAATTTGTCTATTTTGCTTACGTGCTCTTCTAATTGTGTTTAGTGAAATATCTACATCATTAGCTTTAACACCACCTAAAAAATACAGAATAACATTTTTCTTATCAACTCATCACACTAATTAAAAACTCATGAAGCTGATTAGTGATTTAAGTAACAATAAAAAGAACTAGAAACCAGGATTGCTGAAACATTCATCATAAGCTGTGCGTTTGATAGTTTAGATCTATCAGCTGTTGCTGTTATCATTGGATGACAAACAAAGTTTCTTGGCAAAATTAAATTGATATTATCTGATACAATATTTTCCATTACATCTGCAGAAGATTCAAAATTATTTACTTTATAATCAATTTTAGAAGAGCTCTGAGAATTTAAGTACATAGAACTTCTAGACCCAGCAAAAAATGATTCTTCAGTTGAGTATCACTTTTATAAATGCTGAAATCAACTTCTTTATCATTTATTTTTCTTTTCTTTTCTTTAATTTTTCTTTTTCCTCCTTCTCTATTTTTCTTTTGACAATTTCAACAAATTATCTTTTCCACCTAGTCCTCCGGTTTTTACTCCACTTTTGAGTGCTGAAAACCAGATAACATCTTCTTCTGCATTTAAATTTGATCTGGTTTTTTTAACATATTCTTTCCAATTCGGAGAACTAATATCAAATATATTATCCATTATTTTTTTGAAGCCTTGAATAAGTAAATCTTTTTTTGAAAAACATTTATGTTTAGACTTTGCAAGACCTCCATTTATCATGTAACTTAATAATACTTTCAACAATATACTTTTCCTGCTTGCAAGGAATATCAGCTTTATCCCACAATACTTTAACGGTTTTCATCGTTAATTTTGCAGCTAATTTTAATTTTGAAATGTTGCTTTTAGTACCTAATTCTTTTGTACATTTAGAAAACACTTGAAACGAACTGTTCATCATTTTTAATTGATACTTTAACAAGTAAACGAAAGATGAATTGAAGTCTATTTTCTAATTGAAAAATAAAGTTATTTTTGGAAATAAAAAATTTAAGTTATAAAAATCTTTAAATAGTATAAACCTAAAAAATCTGTAGACATCTCTAGTAGTAGACAGAGAACTGTTATTAATATCTGCCAGCGGATATCCAACCAACCATATTTCATTGGTTGATTTCAATAATTTTGATTTCTTTTTGATTGACTCAGTCAAATTATTTTTTGCAGACAAATTTTTTTTTCTTTTTTGTGTATGCAATGCCATGTTAAAATGTTAAAATGAATTAAATTGTATGACTGCTAGAAAAATAATAATACGTAAAACATCTTTATTTCTTAAAAACGAATGGAAAGATGAATATAATTATAGAATCAATAAATTATGTTGCTTTCTTAAAAAATATAGTAGTGTTATGATACTTGCTTTATGATACTTCGTTTTTTTTTTTTATTAACCTTGTTTTTTAAACTGTCTTTAAATGCATCTATGTTGTTTGAGAATAACAAATTATTTTATTTTAAATAAAAAATATTTAAGTATCGTGAAATTGCATGGTATTTAATTATATAGAAGAATTTAAATTACATTTCTTTTCGTACATGAACTTTATGATTTAAGCGGCTGTTACTTATGCAAAATATTAAAAAAAACAAACAGTAATTAGAATAAAAATATAACAAATTAGTTAAAATAGATAAAACACTCCTGAATGCTGCAAAAGACTATGTTGCTTACATTATTTTTAAATAAACAAGAACGCGTCGCATGTTTTGTTCGTTTACACGAAAAACAATATAAATATGCCGTTATTAGTAAATATTATGCCGAACAAATTAAAAAACGGAACAGAATCAATGGAAGTTTTGTGTTTTGGATTTATTCGTGTAACTGAAACTTAAAATGAAATTCGGCAGAACTTAGAAATGAGCTACGTTATTACTTTAGTAACAAAAAATGATTTTTATAGTAAAAGGAACAACATTTTATGCAGCTACTAGTAAAATTAATACTTTGAAAAATTTATGTGGGACTGTGGCCTACCCTAATATATATATTATTCATTTAATTTGAGTAAGCTTGCCTCATTATTTACTGGAATTTCAAAAGGGTTATCAACCAAAATTGCTTCCCTGTTTTGATTAAGTACTCCAATAAGTTGACTTATTAAGGCATTATTTGTATCTAATTCTTTGTTCAGGTTCTCTACTGAAATAAAAAGCTCTTTTTCAACTGCTGTAAAAATATATAATATAAAATATAAATTTTAAAATATATAAAAAAAACAAAACAAAACGAGCATTATAAAAATAACTCTTAATATAAATTATATGCATACGACTAACCAGTGCAATGAAGTGTTCCTTCGCTCACTTCAGCGAGAATTCATCTCACAGTTGAACATCCGCTTGATGTCAACGAAGATCCTAAAAACTAGAATTAAAAAAATTATTAATTGAACAGTTTAATTCAGTTTACTAGTAGGTTAGCGTGTTCTTTTTTTTTTTTTTTTTTTGTAATTCACCTCCCCAAGGCCGAGAAGGCCACTACAGAGGAGGAGACTACTTATGGTTATAAACCTTTCTTAACTCTATAACTCCGAAACACGAACCTTGACAAACAAGGCCGCTGCGCGGAGAAACAAGTTAAGCTCAGTACTACCAGGACGTGGGAATCAAACTTAAAAAGACCAACTAAAACGGGTTTTTTAATATTAAAACCTTGCAGAAGACACAAAATAGGCCAAAATGAAATTTTGCTGCTTTTAAACAAAGGTAAATCATCGACATTTAGCTGCACATAAAGCGCTGAAAAATTAGCAATTTTATCATAAAAGTGATTTAATATAATCGTTAAACTATTATCCAAACCAAAATACAAGTAATCACCACCTGCTTGATGCTCAATTTTAAAATTGCGTTTAGTTTTTAAAATAGTTTTTGCATCTTTTGGCAAACTAGGATGAAACAGACGGAGAATACACAGTAGAGATGATAAAGCAGTCAATGCAATATTAAATTGGATAACAGAAAAAACATTTTAATAATGGCAATTATGGCAAAACGACATTCGGCCAAAACTCTGATCGCGCCAGTGCTGGCCCAAAATCAAATTCCGTCGCAGTGGCTTACGATTACTCGCCAGAGTTCTGGCATTTCGTCGCACGCCGCTGCGACTACTTACGATGATTTACCGTACATAAAAAATTGCTCGAGTCGCTTGCCAGAATCGCGCCAGTAATGGCCCGTGACAAATATAGTCGCAATAACGTGCGATAATTCGCCAGAGTTCTGGCCCGGAGTCGTGTACTGTCTGGGCCACGGACAACGCGTACCCACTGTGTTAGATGTCATTAATGAATCTGTTAGCTTAATTATTCAAACAGATTTTGATCTTACAGACACAAAGTGTTTAATAAATTCTTCCGTAATCTCTCTTAACCGTCTAAAAGTATTTAGAAAAGGGTGAGATCTAAATTTTTTGATGTCAGCAACTTTTCTTGTAAACCAATTGTGTTTTGAATTTAATTTATATTTATGTAATAAATTTGAGCAACTTTACGGAATTTTAATTTTTCAGTTAAATTTCAGAAAACTATTTGTAACATCCAAGGCGATTTAATAATTTTAGTTTTGAGATTTAAATTAACCTTATGCATATTGTTGGAAATATTGTAGAAAATATTTAAACGTTTATTTGATTTTCACGCTTATAAAGTTAAATAGAAAAAAATAGAAGTTCGAAATCGATTGAAGAATTAACGTTTTCCGAACTGGACCAAGTTTCTGTCAAGCAAATTATTTTAAAAATATTTATGTAAAAAAGTTTCGAATTGTATTTTTAATATAATAAAATAAATTATATAAAATTGAAATTTTTTTCTTGATGTGAATTGTGTTGATATTATTTTAATAAAGAAATCTTTTAGTTGTATACAGTGCCGGCGGAAGGGGGTCGCGAGGGACAATTTGTCTCGGACGGCAGATGTCCAAGGAGCGCCAAATAAAATGTAGGTGCTTGAAAAAAAAAAAGAAAAAAAAAAAAAGAAAAGGTAATATAGGGAAAATTTGATAAATTAGGGCGCCAATCAGGATTGCTCTCGGCGGCCCTGGTTTTATAGGTATAAAAGCTGTTGCATTTTTAGTGCAATAATCAAAATCACGATCAAACTTATTGCTGAAATAAAAATAGTTCCAAAAAAATACGATAATAATAAGACTCGGGTAATGTTATCTGAATCTTATTTTTATCATATTTTGTTTTTTTAAATCTAATTTTATAATACAAATTCATTAAATAAGTTTTATTGTGAACATTTTAAATAAATTTGTTGAGTTTAAAATTGACATTTGCTTGACCTCCTGATAAAGATGATGATAAATAATGATCATAGGTTTGTACACTTAATATTTAATTAGATTTTTCATACAACAAGACAATATTTTTTAAATTTAATTTTGTTTCATTTCTTTTTAAAGTAATTAAATTCCATTATTGGAAGGGATTTTTATTTTTGCTTTTAATTTATTGATTTGAATCCAAATTGTTAATTTATTGTCAAACTCTCTCAATACCACAACAAACAGTACAAATAGAACATCAAAATCTTATGTTTTTTTTAAAAGATAATAGGTTCATTATTTTGATATTGAAATAGTCGTTTACTCTGTGCCAAATACAAGGAAGATGGGGTGGTAATAAACGGGGGTTTAGAATAACAACTGTTTTATCTTAATTCTTAAAAATAATTAATCTTAATCAAGGTCCAATTTTTTGTTTTTTTTATTTTAACAACCCAAAGAAAATTGAAGAATTTTTTTATAAATTACGTGTGATTAATTTCATTTATAAAACTTTATAAATTATTTTTAGCCTCATACAGGCGTTTTTTTGCTGTTTCTGCATATGATCGCTATTATTCTTGTTAATAGAACTTTTTTAAGTTTATAATTTCATCGCATGTTTGCTTGATATTGTGGTTTTATCGTAATATTCTAGAAATGCCGTCTTCAATCTCGCAAAATGTCAAGTTGTTGCGTCGATTTCTGTCTTAAGTTTATTAAATTTGAAAATAAGACGTCATTTTATGGTGAAAGGTTATTAGCAACATCCGTTCGCGGTAAAAAGTTGTTAATAATATTAACCCTAGCTACTTAGCAACTTCCGACCCAAAACAATCTAAAACGCATATATAAACCGTAAGTTCTACTAAACAAATCGTAGTAAAATATACTTTTTACTACACACCAGATGATAATGGTAGCACAAAAAAACTGTACAATACGTTATTATTATATATATTATAAATTTTAGCATTTAGCTAATTCCTGGTACTGCGGGTAACAGTAACTTATATACTATATAGCTCTAGTTTATCTATTGAGCACATCTTTAAGTATACAAAGTTAAATATCATAACATATATATATATATATATATATATATATATATATATAATATATATATATATATATATATATATATATATATATATATATATATATATATATATATATATATATATATATATATATATATATATATATATATATATATATTTACGTACCACGCTTCTAATATTTGTTAGTTGGGTACTGTTGTGTAGTTTGTATATTCAATAATGGATAAAATCCAGTTTGATATTCCAGTTTGAAAAATAAATAATAATTTCTAATAAGTAGAAAAAAGTTAGAAGGTTTTATAAAAAGAGATTGCTAAAAATCCTATTTCTTATTAAAAAACAAACAGCAATTAAACAAACGAAAATTACAGTTTTAAATTGAAAGAAACGTCTTCTCAACGTACCAAGCTTAACGACTTGAAGAATGAGAATAAGTGAATTTTATAAAATTTATCCGATCATATCGATTATAAGTACAAACAATCAAAAAGGTTATCTTAATGATTAAGATATTTTAAAAGCTATAGCCAAGTTGTTTTTCTATTTACTGACAAAACTAATCAGTTTAAAATATCTCCAGAAAGTCTTAATACACACTTATGTTATCAAAACCTATAAAAAACTAACATAAATTTACATAAATTAGAGTTTCAAATTCATATAAAACATATTTTATATCTGTCGACTTCCTAGGTGTCATCTAAGAATAAACCAAAGACACTCATAAACTTTTCAAAAAACGTAACGACTGCCTTCAATACAGCTATACATCTTCAAATCATCACAAGTTATTCAACACATAGCTGTTCCAATATACAACAGATTTTCGCAAATTTCCTCAAGCAAAGCAATATCTAACTAATCTGAAAGCGAGTACAAACATGCAAATATAAACAGCGGATACAATAACACCTCAAATAACATATTGTACCAAATTCACTTCAAAAAAACGTATAAGTAATATATGATTCAATCCCCCTTTCAATAAAAAACACAATAATATAATCCCTTTTTCCATAAATTAGTAACTAAAAATACAATTAATAAAATGCTTGATAAGCGGAAAGTGTAATTGTATATTAAATAACATAAATATATGATTGCAGCGAAAAATCAGACCAACAAAGTTTATATTATAAAACGCCTATAAAATTCGTTTAAATTCGTTAACCAAAGATAAACAAATTTGAACAGCAAATGTTCGTTAAGCTTCGGTAACTTTGGTTATGTTTAACAATTTACTATTTGCTTTATGAAAACACAATTTGCCGGTACTAAATATTGAAATAACAAAGGGTGAGATGGAAACTAGATATAATATTCAAAAAGTCTGCCGAATTCTCTAACTACGTTTAGAATATGAAAATAATCTATTCTGAAATCTTTACTCCTACCCTTTTACGCTAATATTTTCAATAGATGCCCACAATGTTTATATTGATAAGTATAACAGCATCTAAGACATTTTAATGTTTTAAATCAGGGATGGGGAGTCCCAAAAAGGACTCCAGATTTGAAAGTCACAAAAAGATTACTTCATCCTTGTTTTTGGTATCCAAGAGCTCTAAAAATATAAATAAGTTTATGGACTACTAATAGAAAAAAAAAAGACTCTTAGGTCAGAGGAACAATCATATTTTGAACCCGGAGTCATTAGGTATAATGGCGGCAAGGACTCCGGGCTTAAAAACAATAAGTTTCAAGTCATTAAATTTCATGAATTTTTTTCTTATAGCAGATCATAAGTCAACAAACATTTTTAGAGCTTCTGAAAACTAGAGACTTGGAAAAAGTAGAGATTTAAAGCCGGAGTCCCTCCGCATCCCTGTTTTAAATGCATATAAGACATTTTAGATGCTGTTTTACTTGTAATATAAACATTGTGGGCATCTATTGGAAATATTTGTAAGACTTTCTAACTTATGTTATACTTGTAAATATAATATTATAAGTATAGCAGCATCTAAAACATTTTAGCAAGCAAGACGCACAGAATATCTTTCATATTAAAGTAAGGATCAATCTTTTTTTTTTATGAACTGGAGATAAGATATTCTTAATATATTATAAATCTATTCAAGTTTAAAAAGCATTACAAGATTAAGGAATAGAATATCTAAATATTGAATTTAAAAGCGATAAAATGTTATACGTTAAAAGCAATCTGTAGCTCATTTTAACTAATGACTAAAGATATAAATTCATGAGCCAAATGTACATGGGATTAGAAAGAAGAAAAAGAAATCATCTCTCGCATGATTAATACACAAGAAAGGACATTTTTTTAATTTTCGAGAAATTTCCCACCTACCTCAAGCTTATTTAGGACTCTCCATTTATTATTTTTTTAACAATAAAAAACTAAAAATAAAATAATAATCATTGTAAACCGGCCTTTAACATTGAAAAATATATTATCAGCCATCAATAAGAAAAAAAGCTTTTAATGTAATCAGGAAGTAAAAATTGTTGACCTGTAAAAATATCTCCAAAATCTTGATTAGTCGAAAATTAGGTTTTGGTTTGTTCCTCACCATAGAGTAAAACTTATGTAAGGATGTTAAATCCTATAAAAATTAATATAAAACAGTTGTTATTCTAAACCTCTGTTTATTACCACCCCATCTCCCTTGTATTTGACACCGAGTAAACGACTATTTCATTATCAAAATAATGAACCTATTATCTCTTTAAAAAAATCATAAGATTTAAAAAAAAACGTCTACAGCTCTTTTAAAGAATCTTTTTCTTTAAAGCAAAATAAATAACTTAATAAACAAGATTGTGATCAGATAAATATTTACAATAGTTTTTAGTTTAAAAGTATTGATGCTTCTGTTATTTTCTTACTTACTACAAAACGATAACTATATTTTTTTCATTTTTTCTTACTATAACGTCATATTTACTTTTTGTTAGAGAACCGCATTTCACCTCAGAAATTTCATAGCTAATGCTGCCACTAAAGATGCGCTCAACCCAACCCATAAGCTAGTTTTCCACCATGTGCTTTGTACTGGTTTTGTAAATGTGCGATTAAAGTTGTCCTAAAAAAATAAAAAAAAACTCTTTACCAATCAAAATTTCATTAAATTATACATACAATTGTTAGGTTATAATAAGTTAGGCGATTAGTGCTAAATTCTAAATTGCATTTATTTAGGATGTAAATAAATTTATGATTACACGTCACTTTTTTCCTAGCAACTGTTGAATTTTCTTAGCAAATTTCTGAATAGCTTATTCTACGAATAAAATATGAATGAGTTGCGCGCAAAAGCATAAGTAAATAATAAGAAAACTACGAAATTGCGGTAACACCCACGTTACTTCATAGGAGGAGGTAAGATGCTTTTAGAAACTAATTATATAATATATAAAACTTTAATTATCTAAACTTGAGATAATAGAGAATAACAATGATATATAGAGACTAAAAAAATCTGAAAAAATTATGTTTTGAGTTATGAAAACTCATAACTCAAAACTATATGGATTATAAAATGTCGTACCCAGCCTCCTTTTTCAATAATCCAGTCTTTTTTATCTGATAAACTTTCGGTTAACCAGTCCTCGATCTCTTCAATCAATTCATTATTAGGCTGTCTAGCCCAAAAACATTGAGCTAGCTTTCCACCAAACGTTATTAAACTTACAACTCGTCCCCAATTTAAATTGTCATCAGCCAAAACCTTATGCGAAACTTCGTTGAAAACTTCACCGACGTTTTCTTCGTTTATTGCGTGACATACATTTTTAAAAAAATCAATATGCATATCTTCCAACTCACTACTGACGCGGCGCAACGTAACGGCCGTCGTTGTGAGTTTTTTTTCAAAAGGATTCATTTTAATGTCGTCATCGCATATGTTTATAATTCCCTTACCAAACAGTTTATAATGTATATGGTCATTAGCAAGCTTTCGAATGAAACCGCGGTGTTTTTCTGTGTTGTCTTCTATCGATCTAAAATAATCTTGTTCTACTATGTCCCTAGTATCGTAGTGATTATAATTGTGATCTGTCGTGTTGTTGTTTGTCTCGCAACTACTATTTACATATCTCGCCATCATAGGACTTTTCATTCCTCGAATATCTTTACATAAACCTAAAATATTGCTATTTACTTTACTAATATTAGTTTATATGTCATACTTTATATTAATATGTAATTTATGTTAATTTATGTTAATATGTAATTTATGTTATTAAGAAAATACAGAAAATTTTTTAGAAAATCATTTATAGAAATTAAATGTAAGTATTTTTAATATAGCAAAAATAAATGTAGAATTAATTAGAAAGAACGTGTAGAACGTGTATTTTTCACGTATCCATTAATTCGCGAATATCAAGTAGATACAATCCATATTTTAATTTTAACTTCAATACAAATAGAAATTAACTCGTTATTCCATTAAAAACTGTTAACAAATGACTTAATATTTGTGTATATCTCATTTTTTGAAAAAATGGATTTTGATTGACCTTATCTAGTTTACAAAGTTGCACACTTGCTAATCAATTTTAATAAGATACTAAACACAAAAAAAAATTAATTTATAATATAATAACAAATTTATCAATGTATTTAATCATTCAACATATTTTTTATTACGGTAGGTAAACCAATTACCTATTAAAATATGAACTAAATATAAAAATTATGCATATATTGCATTTTTTTATTTTTCATCTTTACTTTGCATTTTTGTTTATATGCATAATTAAATAAAAATGCAAAGTAAAAATAAAAAACCTCGAAAAAAACCCTAAATTATAAAGAATACAAAGTTAACTAAGAACAAAATTTTTAACAAAATTGAATTATCATTTGAAAGCTTAATTATGAAGTGAAATCTTCAATTTATAAAATAAAGATATTCCCTTACATTGTGAGCAATTAGTATTATTAATACAAATATGTTGCAATGGATTAACAAATGTCATTGGTGCCAAATGTCATGAATACTCTAAATCCTGGCTGTACTGCGTTGAAATAATCTTTAATGAAAATACATACATATTTAATATATACAAGCATATTTTGCATGATGATTTAAAAATTTAAAGTTTTGAATTCAAAAACCATCATGCAATTGTACTTCAGATTCCATCTCTTATTTCTCTGTATTTAACTCCAGTTAAGGAATTTGAATACAGGTGTTTAAATCACAGAAATAATAGTTCTTTTAAAAAGTAGCAAGAGAAATCGTATTAATTTAATTCATAAAAGAAATCATATTTTACCTATCTTCACTCCATCATCTATACTAATATATATATATATATATATATATATATATATATATATATATATATATATATATATATATATATATATATATATATGTTTAATATATGAGCATCAATAAATACGAATATTCTCAATACTATTTTTTTTTTTTAATTTAATCTAAGAAATTTTCGCTAGATTATTAATTAAGTAGCACTAATTAAAGCTGAGGATGCTATTATCAATAATCTAGCAATATATATTATATATAAACTGTATAAAAGAGCAATAAAAAAATCTATCATGCTGTTTTATATTATCACAAACTTTCAATTTTAACAAAATAACCTCGCAATGTTTTATTTTTGTTTCATACAGCTTTATAAAGTAAAAATAAAATTAAAAAACTTTTCTTTAATAGTTATAAAATTTTAAAATTTTGAGGTAAAAATAAAATTAAAATTTTTTCTTTAATAATTATAAAATTTATTTGTTGCTTTTTTTTACAAATGTATTAGTCTTATTTCATTATTTTCTTTTATATTTTGATTAAGTAAAATAGAATGTATATCGGTTTCACTCCTAAAAACTAAAATCGCCGCCATCTTGGGAGGCCAGTTTTGGCTTCAACTTTTTTCGGAAAAAACATTAGAATCCGCTATCCAGTTATATTTTGAGATTAGTGATACTAACATGCCTTGTTGCTAATGATCATCAAGGTCATTTATAAAAAATCCGGTTGTTGCAAAAAAAAATTTCGGAAGTTTTTGATTCTTATATTCATCTAAATTTAGCTTTAAACTGATGGCTTTCTCATTTTTTTATCTTTTTTGTATTTTTTGTATGGTTAACGACTGGAAAAGTTAGACAACAAATATATTACAAAATAAATATGCAAATTTTTATCCGGAAAAAGATAATCCCTGCACTAAACCTAGGGTATAAAAATAAAATCAACAAAAAATTTCATTAACTTCTGATATAAACTATTATTTGTATTATTACCATTTAAATACCATTATAATACCGCAAAAAGTCTAAAAGTGAGGGCAATAAATTTTTTTTTTTAAAACTATACTAAATTTATATTTGCCTACAGCTTTTAAATTTCATTTATTGTAAAGTAAAAAAGTTATGTCCATCATTACTCTCATTTTGAGGTGGAAACTTTATCGGTTCTGATTTCGAACTGCTGAACAAGCGAATTAGCATATATGCTAGTTCGCAGTTATGACTTTTTCAATTATGATTTTTCTAACTGCATGGTAATTTTACCAATTTGCACTTATTCCAATTCACACTTATGCCAATGTTTATTAAATTATTTGGCGCACTTACCAATTCTTACTTATGCCAGTTTTCGCACATTTGCCAGTTCGCACAAATGACAATTATGTTAATTCTTAATACTTCGCACTTATGCTAATGTTTGAAAATTCTTGTGTCAGTTCGCCTGAAGCCAATTTGTACTTATGCCAGTTTTTGTAGCTGCTTCACACTTATGCCAGTTCGCACTTATAAAATTCGCGCTTATTCAGCCTCCCGCTTGATTTTTGAACCCTAAATATTATTTAATGAACTTTAAAATTTGACCATTAAATTAAATATAATATGTTACGAAATATGTACATGTCACCAACCTCATTTTCTATTAGTTATAGAGAGACGTCTCTCTAAAACTAATAGAAAATGAGGTTGGTAGTTCTTTTTAAAGGCTTGGTGGATGGCTGGAACTATCATGGATACAATTAAACGTACTTAAATAAAAGCACGTAATATAATGTATTATCAGTAGCGTAGCTAGGTAACCAAGGGCCCTGGGGAAAATTAAAAAATGGGCCCCCACTGCTACGTAAACTGATTAGGTTTTATCAAATAAAAATATGAAATATACAAATACTTTAAAAATGCTAAGCTACTTAAGCTCTTTTTCGTGCACTACAGGGCAGGTAACAAAAATATTAAACAGTAACAATATAAAATACAATTAATACTTGGTGTAGGTTTGGCTAATAAAACGAAATAGAGAAGATTCAAGGGTTTATCATATAAAGGTTGGGCCTACCAATTGACTAAATAACAATTATATTTACAATTATTTCCTAGCTTTAGTTTTCGCAAAAGTATCAATGACTTTGTTTAAATCCAGGCTTGATGCGGTTTTGTTTTCAATTGCTACTAGCAATAAATGTCGAAGTCGAGTCTGGCCCATCTTATTTCTTAATTAATAGATAATATTCATTATAAATTTTTTGTTTTCTTGAAACATTTAAATAATGAATATATTAAAAAAGCTATTTTAAAGCGGTTGACGCAATTTTCTGACACAAATTTTTGTTAAAGATTCGAGGGCTCCCTAAGCTTGAGACCCTAGGTAGCTACAGACCCTAGGTAGCTACAGACCCTAGGTAGCTACACCGCTGTGTATTATAGTAATAAAAAACCTTTTCATAACTCATTTTTTACGAAATTAACATAAATAATTTTGGATTTACACAATGCCCAAAAGTGTCATATCTAAAACAACTACGCTCGCATAGGAACCATAAAAAATATATTCAAATCGCAAAAATATTAAAAATGGTCACCAAACAAAAAGTTATTAAATATATATGATAAATACAATTTCAAAAAGTTTAACCATTTCTAGAAAAAATTTTACTTTAATAGGCTATATCTAGTTATTCTGTTTCTAGAATTGAGTAACACCTGTTAAACTTCCGATAAATAAGGTGCTTCATACTTCATTTTTCATACTTCATGAAAAGTTCGACTATTTGATATATTTAATAAATACGGTTAACTTTATTAGTTATTTTATTTACAAACAAATCTACCAAGGAAAATCCAAACACAGTTTTCTTTCTTCAAGTAAAAATGATAATGTAACAATTTTAGAGTTTGGCATAAGGCAGAAATCTTAAAAAGTCTCCACTAACGAGAGCGCAATAAGCAAAAAAAAATTACTCTAGGCTTCTTAACTGTAGGGTTACCATTTTTCTTTTTATAAAAAAATAAAAGCGGTAAAAAAACAAAAAATAAATAAATATTTTAATTTTTAATAAAAAAACTAAAAACACTAAAAACCGCCTCTTTAAGAAACTTGTTTTTTTTAAAAAGTTATTTTTAAAGTAATTAAAAAAAAAAAAAGTAAAAAAAATAAAAAACTGGTTCAAAAACAAAGTTTAAATATTATTATAAAATTCTTATTTACTTGAATGAGTTCCTTAACTCTCATTTCCAAAGTTTTATTGCAATTGTATTAATATATTTGCTAATAATGTAATTTACGTAATGTTATATTATGAAAACACGAAAGCTTATTTTACCTTATTTGTTATTTAGGTCTTGAAGTAGACTTTTGCTTTTTAATTTTACGACTTTTCGCTTTAATTTTGTCCAACTTTTAACAAAATAACTCAAAAGCAAAACTTGCGAATGTGACCTGCTAATTTAATTGATAAGAAAAATCGAAATAAGATAATTGGTTGGTTAAACAACGGGAGTTTTTGATGCATTACTTTATAGAAACTAAATTTCTATAATACATTAAAAATAAGAGTTTCAATGTTTTAAATGCTACTCACATGTCTAAATATGTTAACTGATAATATATGCTTAATATATTTAAATATGTTTACAGTGACGATACTAGAAATAAAATAAGGGTGAGGAATTCTTAAATAATAGTGACTTTTTTGTAAAAAAAAATCCACAAGACTAAAAATCACCTAACTCAAATGTGTCAAGTATCCGACAAGCTGACTATATTACTCAAAAAACTATTTATAACTTGAAAATTGTCTTCATTCGTGGTATTACACAACCCCCTTCTCTCTTTCTCACACACTTTTAGAATCGGCTCTAGATGTTTAATACAGTTTTATGCATATAACTAAATTAAAAAAGCATTTTTTAATATAATGGAGACTGGGGAGACTTCGGACTCGGGGAGAAAATGGACACTTAGAAACCTCCTTACCTGTTAACATTAGAACAATGATGTCTATGGTCGATATGTTATTATACATACGCTCTTAGCTTTAAAAAAGTTTGGTGACAGTTTCCCGCTAAGAAACAGATTTTAGAGTGTAAAAACGGTTTAAGAATTAATTTCCTTAACTTATTACTGATCCTAGTTCTAATCGGTTCTGATGTATATTAACTATATATACTTGTCAAAGCACAATAATTTTCTAAACTTTCACAAAAAATACTAGAATTCCAACCAAAGAAGAGCTTATAACTATGAAAAATTGCCATTAAACGATCAGAACATATCATATTGTGAAACTATGTTTATTTCACCTAAAACACGTATTAATGTAAAATCTTATTCAAATTTGCACAAACGATTGTGATTTTAAGATGATTTAAAAAAAAAAGAATTTTCAGTCTGGGTTTTTTCGTTACAAACATTTATATTTTATGATACCGCAAAATTTATCATTTTAATATTTTTCGTCTTTTCATAACTCACAGGCCAGACCATTTAACGGAAATATGTCGTAGTCAACAAGCATAGTAAAGACACTATAATATTTAAAAAGTAGCTTAACTACACCGAGTGAATGAATATAAAAGGTTACTGCTAGCTGCGCTAAACTAAAGATTAGTAATTACTAAAATAAACGAAAAAGAGTGGCACTTTTATTAAATTTTTTAACATTACTTTTATCACAGGTAATCAAAAGATTATCAGAAACTATAAGAGAAAGACATTACGTACATTCTCAACTGAAAAGTAAAGGAAAGCCGTAAAAGATATCTAAACAAACAATTTGAGTATGC